TTCGCGAATATGCGGATGGTTTTTTGTGTATATTCTTGTAGAGGAAATCAAGTAGATCATTTCTAGAACAAATTCGAACTGAATATTCAAATTCTATCGAGTATCGAGTATCGAATATATATATATATATACATATACATATATATATATATCCTGAAAATCCTGAAAAGGAATCCTCAATTTCGTAATCAATCAGAATTGTGTAGTGACAGATCAAGGCTTCGAAATGAGGGCCTATCGCAGGAGCTCTGGTCTGATTTCTCTGAAACTGGCACCTCGTTGTGAGATTAAAACAGTGGAAGGTCTTGATCACTGAATCACCTCTGACAGTGGGCTTTGAGCACGAGCACATCTGTTTCCATCCTTTTCGCTCATGCTTTACCGTTATGAACTATTACTGTTATCTTTACTGTTATGATGTTCAAGGTTTCGGGATTGATCAAGGGTCTGCGATTTACTCCTGGAGATCCGGTGCGCGACAGCGTGCTATGTTGTGGAACACTATAGAAAAAATGGGAAGCAGACATAGTCAATTAATCAGCAGTATTTAAAAATGTCACAACGATGGCTTATCACCTCAACACAATGGGAGGGCGACACGCGCGACGTGAGGGAAAGTCCTCTCTAACCACCTTTTCTTATCTGGAAAAAAATCCGAGTTTTTGTAAAATCGGTAATTTATCATGTCGCTTAATGCGAAGTTCCTGTAGTGATCAGTCAAGTGGGAGCTTATATTGATCGGTTTGCCGCATCGCTGTGGTTTGATTGCAGCCCCCTTATCCCTCCACGGGGGCTCGCGGTTGAACTGGTTCTCCACTCGTTAAGTTGTACACAGCAAGCCTCGGTACGTCTAAACCACTGCGTTCTCGACTAAGGAAAAGGACTCGCTTGGGAAAATTTCTGCCCACCACAAGAGAGGCAATCTATTGCTCCGCCCCATGCTGTTGCCCATACCATGATATGTCCGCTTGTATGGTCCGAAAACTCTCGCCAACGCCTTCTACTATTCGACGGAATTCGCGTTGGAGCTTTCATTATCCTGTGCAAAATTTCATATAAATATACATATATATGACTGCAGCGGCACCTCTGCCAGGTCCACACGACTACGAGTGGGTCCCCTAAGTGTCAGAGCCTGGTAAGCTAGACTTGGCTATCCATATGTCAAGAACTGTAATAAAAATGAGCCTCATTCCTCTGACCTGAGAGTCTTCAATATGGCAGCGTTGGGTAGGACCGCTCGGGAGAGGCTGCTAAAATTTTGAGGCCATGAAAAGCCGTTGCAAACTATTCTTTGGAACGTGGGACAGCGGAGGCGTCGGCGGTGTAGATGTCCTCGTCAACACGTACACTTAGTCATGAACATCGATTCGGGCGAAAGCTTGACAACCCGAATTGGACCTATTCGATTGAGAAGATTTGGCTCAACTCCAGCTCTAACAACTTTGTCGCACCAACAGAGTTACGAAAAAAGAGAGCTGGAAGCTTTTTTATGAATATTAAGAGTCTCTATAGAAAGGACCATAGTTCGTTGAAGGCCATCGCCGGTGATTACAACGTCAAGATTGGCCTCAGAAGAACGGCCGAAGATCGTCATATCGGGACTCACGGACTGGAACGGATTGGACCGGACGAAAGGCTGCCCTAGCTTATCAAGTATCCATGGTACACTGCGAGTTGGACGAGTGCGGTACTACGGACAGTGTGGTACAGACCCGAGCTGTCCATAGTAACTCGCAGTCCCAGAAGCCCTCTCATTCACGATGGACATGGAGGTCACCTGGAGGACACTCTCATAATGAAGTAAATTACATCATTTTCAATAAAGGTACTGTCTGATTGACTCGCTGTAGCTTCGAAGTACTAGTGGGATCAGACTGTCATCTCCTCCGTGCTAGGTCTGGTTTTCTGCGCGTGGAGAGAGAACTATGGAGTTCAGGCAACGGAGCCCCATGACTACTGTCATTTGGGATCACTTCGTTTCACTTGCAAATTTGTGGGACGATCCAATCAGCGACATCATCGACAAGGATACGACCGGCTCGTCCAACATATTCACGATAGCGTCAGGAAAGCAGAGTCTCAAAGATGCCAAGAAAAGTCTTTCTCCGAAGACTCTCGAGCTGATACGCCAGCGTGGATTTGCGCGAGCTGCAGGCAATAACCAGCCAACGCCCGAACTTATGCAGAGAAGCGATAAAGGGCATCTGAAAGAGAGAGTAGCAGCAGCTGCGGACGAAGCCGCCGAGATTGTGAAAAGCATTCGCAAATCCCGTCGGAGCTTCGTCAATTATAAGGCCAAGATGTCCCTTCGTCGTTCTGACGGAACAGTTACTGCATCTCGAAGGGCAATGGAGATCGTCTATGACTCCTACTATGATCTCTTCGACAGCCACGCCTACCTTCCTACATACCATCTTAGGCAAGACTGGTATGTCGTCCCTTCAATTCTCCTTTCCGAAATTCGACATGCCATCACGTCGATGAAGAATTGTGCTTCGTTTTGCCCCGACAGTATCGAACAAGAACACCTAAAGAGCCTAAACTCTGGCTCGGCTCCCCACGCGGTACCTGTGGAAATGCAAAATGCTCATTTCGTGAACAGACTATTGAGACTGTTTTGCTGATAGGAAGGGTAATCCAGACGGTATTGGCAATTATCGCCCAATCAGTCTGCTAAGTGTAACATGGAAACTATTCACATCTCATCCTCTACAGAATCGGCAGAATATTAGATGGAGGGCAGCAGTGCAAGCAGCATTCTGGAGAGTTCAGTATAAACGGGCAGATCCACAACGCTGCAAGATTCGTTGAAGTACCGTGAGAGTACAAAATGTCGTTATGTCTTACGTTCATCAATCTATTACTATCGAGACAGAAGCGGTAATTGAGGCTCTGGGCAACCGGGGTGCTTCTACTTAATATATAAGATGCTTCGTGAGCTGAACGACAACTTCAACATGTATAAAGAATTCGTCATCAACATGAGGGGAGGGGTTCGGCAGGGTGATACCATTTCGCTCAAATATTCCACTGCCGTTTTCGAGATCATCA